TGTAAATATACTTCGGGAATATCAGCGAATACTTCATATAATGTAGCAAAATTTTTGATTAACTGGCTCTGATGAATTTAAACATATAGGATTTTTATCAGTAATCGAACGAACTTATACTGCATCGACTCTGTGAGCGTAACGGTCTTCTAGGATGCATTATATCAATCGATAATTTTGCTAATACGACGGTCTCCATCAGCAGAGAATCGTTAGATCAACCCATTGCTAGCGAGTGTCAAAAATTCACTTCCAGAAGATCGCATCGATGTAAGATAACGGGTGTCCACATCCGAGATAATCAGAGAAGAGATTATTCGTAGCCAGCCATGTGGAAGATATGATTTACATTACTGACAAGAGGTATTTAAATTATGTTAAAGCTCGAGTTTTTTTCATGATTTCAGAGATAAACTCACTCCTGGAAAGGGTCTTGGGTCATTCTCGATTCGATTTCCCATCAGTTTGAAGTTAGAGGCCTGTCTGTAGAATCGCATTCTTTGTTGACGAGCTTCCTCTCATGAGTGATTGCAGACGTTTGTTATAAATTAAGAATTTTCTTCGATTGGAAAAAAATTTAATATCAAAAGTTCCTTACGTTATGTTGAAACCACCAATTTACCCATTAAAACCCAGATCAATGAAAGATCTATGTAAATTTTTCATCAATATTGTTTTAATACAAACACGAGAAAAATTAATTAAATAATTGAACTTAACCACCTACGGGTCGGTAAGAATGAATAGTGCCTTTTCAATTAATTTCCAGCTCAAGATCAGCAAATGGTTTATGGAACCAATTGTTATTGAACTCGAATTCGACTTTTTATCATATACTTTAGCATAGTGCAATTTTTACCGGGCCATAAATTTTTGGACGATTACCCTAGATGGCATAAAACGCGAGAGGTTTTCATACTGTAGTTGACTCCCCACACGTACACCGAACGTTGGGCGCTCTCATGCTGTGAAACATATGGCAAAAATTAAGTCCTCATTAGTAGGGGAAGTTGTAAAAACCAGACACCTGAACTTGGGGAAGCTTGCGGGATCAGAAAGATGAACAATGCTCCATGAATGTAAGTTTCCCTATATTTACACATGGAAAGGCTATCACTGATAACTATCTTACCAATTATTCGAGTAAAATATTAATTGGATGATGATGTAACAATAATTATCATTCATTATCATCCGCTCATTTAGAAGCAATAATGTTGCCTTATGAATAAGGTTGCAATTTCGGGTGTAATAGTATGATGCCACATTTTTTGGAGTCATAGACGCTGCTATCTTCCCTCCCCCAAGCAATATTAGTGTCTATTTCTATAAGAAGCTGCCGAGCTAAGACCAGTGCGCCCAGGTGCACATCGATTTCTGCTGTCGGTGCGAGTTTCACGGCTGTTGAAGCCTGAGCCACCTTCGATGGCCCCGCTTCCTGCGTCCGAAAACCTCTGAGTCTAGCCAAGAACCGTAATTTTTAGCGCATTTTCCCATTTATGGAAAAAAGCACTATTGTGTTCGCCATGTCCGTCTGTCCGTCCGTCCGTCTGTCTGTCCGTCCGTCCGTGACTTCAAGTTTTCAATGCGTCCGTCAATGCGCTCTCTGTCACTCACTGCAGTGAGTACTGAGATATATTTTTTTCAAAAAAAAATGATAGCATATTTTATTACAATTATTTAGCTTACACATAGCGATTCTTATACTTGTATTTCACTTGAATGTAATTTAGGATCAGTTGTGCCGTCTAATTTTAGTATAATTGCAATAACGTTCTCAACTCCAGATACTCGTAATCTATGTTTGAATGTTTAATGGACTGGCCTCATGACTCAAAGATTTATGGAAGATTCGACAAATAAACTTTTAATTGAGAAATAATAACGATTCATTCATAGAACGAAATTGGATAGGATATGAGGCCCATACACAAAAAAGAAATCAAATTCTCTCTTGTATACAAATAGGCATATAAGTAAAAAATATAGTTTCTAATTTTGCATAAGACTCCTAATTTCTTACGTTTAGCCTAAAATGATAATCGTAATCGGGGTTCGTAAAAATTAGTATAAAATTTATGCAGGTTGTAGGAAGAGCAACATCTACGAATGTTGCTCTTTTGATTAAGATAGGTAGCTGACGTGCGTGTGATTTTCTCGATCGTGTCATCACCATTTGTTAACATGGCGACTGCAATAAATAATTCGCTATCGTCAGGTATCACCTTCACGAGATTAATTATGTAATAATTTATACAGAAATATTTATTTCAAAGAGGACCCTAATTTCCTATAAAAGTTTTTGTTGATTTGGATCTGGCTTCCGTCAGGGCACCAACCAGCACCGAAATGTCTATTTCTCCACAGTTAAAACGGTCGCTCGTATCGTTGACTTTGCAATCAGATTGCATTTGTTAGAGCCATTCAATTACTCATATCTTAAAATTATGAGACCTTACTTAATAGATGCCTGCAAGGTATTTCTTGGATGTATCTAAATCTTTGGTTAGATTGCACTATTTGCGTAATTAAGTCACTACTGAAAAATTAATCAATTAATTCGAATGCTGGAAATGGAAAGAATCCATGCATTTTACTGTCACGGGCCTTTTCTCATTATGAAATTTTTTATTTGGTGTGGGATTTGATATCATTCGCATTCTCAAAAGCGCACACACAAAGTGACAAATGACGATCGGCACAAGTCACTCACTTAGGTTGATCGCTAAATGTTTTGATGTCAACTTGACCTGCAGCTGAAACCGTCAAAGTAGATAATATGAAAATTCAAATTCTTATAGGTTATGAATATCATTGAAAAAAAAAACAGAACTCATATCATGATCAATTACTTTCTATTTCATTGTTGGATTGGTCATCCGTCACACTGATGCTTTAAAATTAGTTACCGGTATCAATAATTAGTTCCTAAGTAAATTGAATTAATACATTATAAAAAATGTAAGTACTCATCCATTAGAATCCATGAATTAAAAAAAATAATGATGAACACATTAATATATTTTCTCCATAAACATTGCTAATTTCAACAAGATTTTCGATGATATACTTTTTACTACAATTCTTGTTTCCATGCACATCAGCTCAGTTGCTCGCAAATAAGTTCGCTCTCATATGAGGACGCATTTTGGTCTGATTTTATTGCTTACGAAGCTGAATTCAAAATATAGTTAATGTTAATATATAGAGACAATAATTGGGAGACTAAGTATGCAAATGCGATACCAGCGCTACAGGTACTATTTGGTTTTGAAAAAAAACCGTTGGGCAAAGTTACACGGACTAACGCTGTTGCTAATCCCGGCAATTTTTGAGAGGGGTTAAGGCGTTTCCGCAAGGTTCAAATTGCGGCGAAAGACAACCCTGTGGTCGCTCATAAATGTTTCCCTTAATTAAAGCAAGAAATAGTAAAAGATGGCCAGCGAGTCTTGAGCAGCAACAAGATATCGTTTGTTGCTTCACAATACATATCCGTAAAAAAAAACATTGAGTTAAAATAACAAAAAATGTTGTTCGGAGACATTGTGTGTACTTATAGTGGGCGCATTTACGTATAAAATATCATATAAAATATAATATATAATATGATGTATATACTAAATATGTTGATAATTTATTAACATATAATACATTTTGCCCCGCATAATTAAAATATTACTTTACATTCGCATTATGATTTTTAAAAAATAGTAAAAAGAACCTTTAATAAAAATTGAATTTGTGTGTCACATGGATCAGCGGTAGCATTAAAAATGACACTTCATATATAATTCACGACAGCAGAGCGACAGCTAACGATAATGGTGGTAAACCATCATTCAAGACAACGGTACTGAACAACAGTGCAAAAATTTCAACAATCGTGCAAAAAACTGTTCACGAAAACAACACAGAGATCATCGTTCATGAAAATATCGTAAACGTCCCATTGTAAAACAGCGTTAAAATTTATGACTCCATGAGCACAAAGAGTTCCAAGCTCCACAGCTCCAAAAAAGAGCTCCAAGCTCCACAGCTTACGACTTCACTAACACTCTAGTTGGTCTCTAGCTGTCACTAACACCACAGTCTACGACATCGTACCATCTCCATAGCTTACGACCCACTCACCACTTACGACTAAGCGCGGTGTTGCCAACGTGCGCGCCATATCATAACACAAAAGGTCGCGAAAGCGCAGGAAGTGACAAATGACGATCGGCGCGCGTCACTCAGGATGGTCGCTAAAAACATTGATACGACCGACAATAGGCGCATTACGTGAGAAATGTGCGCCACCCTTCGTTCCTTGACGTCACACTCACAAAAATATTGACAGCAGATGAAGTCTTCATTAATATCCCTTCTCGTAATCCTAAGATGGTTAAATTCACTGCAGCTCTGGTGGTCTGTCGTTCAAAGTTATCCGTTTTAAAGCACATGATTCAAAAGTAAATGGTGGATAAGGGGAAAGGTATCTGAGGCATGAGAGAAATGAGGGTTAATTTTCTACTGTAATATGTCATTGATTTAGTAATTGGTTAGCTTTGTCCTAAAAACTAGCACTTACTCATTGATATCGCAGCTTGCAATCATCAGTGAAATACGCAGTGATATATTTTGCAAGGGTAAGATATAGAGCTGCAAATATTCATTTAAGGACACAATAATATCATTTAAGGATACCATTCGATTTAGCTTTCAAACCTCCTACGACTCAATCTATTTACCTTATCATTCATTTGAAAATATCGGTATGAAAATAAAATTAATAAACAAAAACTCGAATAATGAACATTTAAAAAAAACAAACATCCTAATTAATTAGCTTATTAAAAATGAAAAATGAATGATCGTCCAATTATTTTCAGTTCTTAACTAAGCGAAATAAGTACAAACATGATTCAAAATCATCGCACTTCCGATTTGAAATTTCATTGGAAATGATTAACATGCGTGAAGAGAAAGAGAGAGAAAAAATTAGAATTCAGGGAAAAAAATTACATTAATTGACACTCCTGATCAATCTTCTGTTCCTCAGACTGGTTCCTGATTTATTTGTTCGTGATGCGGATTGTTTATCGTCGTCCGATATTGGCGCGTAAGCCACGTGTCGCATTTGTCGTACAGCGGAAGAGCAACATTGGCACGAGATGGAAGTGCGGCAGGCTGCCTGACGTACGGCCTTCATCCCTGAGAGGGAAATGAATTACTTCCACTGGATGAATGAGGATGAGGGAGGAAGTTGTACTCGGTACCACTTTCCATCCCAGAAAAGGAAATATATTATTTCTATTAAGTGAATGGGGACGAAAAGGTTCTACGCAGAGCATATTTCATAGAAGTGAGGTAAAATTCAATTTGATGTCTGATGATTGAAGAGAAGAAGATTGATGTTCAAAGAAAAATAAAAAGCATTAACAAACTACACTGAACAAAAAAAGAAGAACCGAAAAAACTACGTGAATCTCTACTGATAAATAGATGGACATAAGAGAAAACTTTTCTATATAAGGTAATACATAGTAAAACTGTTAAATTTTGGGCAACGAATGGAATGCAAGACACTAAAAATGAGCAACAAATAATCAGCTCCTATAAAAGAAATTAAACAATTTTTAGTGGTGCATTCAAAATTTTGATTGACATTTTGCCACCACTTTGTTTTTTGAGCAAGAAACTCTTTACGAAGCTCCGCCGCCCAACAACCAGAGTCCAACCATTTTTCACATTTCTTGTGCATGATCGCACCTCCAACTCCCCACATCCTCCCCAAGAGGAACACTTTTGCCAATAATTCACAGGCCGCCCACGAACAGCTCCCCCCTCCCCTGCACTTACGCTTTCCTCTTTACGAAGGTTAATAAAATTCTCCAGGGTTGATTCCAAGCATACGTGTTTCGTGATACAATTTATGATTTTTAATACTTAATGTGAAATATAAATGTCTCACAAGTTAATGATGTCCCGATTTCAGAGTAAATACAAGCTATTCCAGCTGAGCGGGAAAGAATTATTTTACATCTCAATTTGTGTTAAAATTGGAGACACCGAAATCTTGGCATATTATTTCCGGACTATTTTACTGATTATATCAATAAATTAATTGAAATTAAAAATTTTCGCTGAATAATTTTAGTAATTGTAATAAAAATATCAATAACATTTGCGATAATGATAGATAATTTTAAGGCAAAATTGCGACTTGAAACCCAAGCAGTTTGTTTATCTTGCATAAGATTGATTATCGTCAATCAAGCGATAAGCGGGAAAGATTGAAGGGAGAACATCTTACCCCAGATCCCTGCCGTAGGGATTGATTAATTGAACGTGATTCAGCTGCCCGCTCGACCTTATACATCTCAGCCGCTGAAGAAGAAGCACATTAGCTACGAATCTGTCGCAAAACCTGCAAGTTTTATCACGTTGAACATGGTTTACTATCATAAACCATAATTATGAAACAAATTAAATACCGTAGTAAAAAAATTGACGTCATTTCTAAAGCATATGTTATTGATTTACAGCGAGGACAGCGAGAGAATATTATTCGCCGTAATTTTGGATGTTAACAAAAATTCATCATTTCGGGGTTGTACAGCACGAATGAATTTGAGATCAAACCATAAACATTTATTATTCTCATTTATTCTCGACTTCGTGACAATTTCAGTTGGGCCATCAAGTTGGCAAATCAATAACGTCGAGGACCTTCTCCATGCAGGCGTACAGACGCAGGCTCCATGCGTAAGCCGAAACTCCAGACTGCGCGTCATCAATTAGGAGGACTACTTCCGCACATGTCCGTCCCTCCGTCGGCCGCGTGTGAAGGCTGCTACTTGCATAATCCACTGCAGCAGACCAATATAATCACAAGGCCAGCGATATTTTCCGTAGGAAAGAATGTGTAAATTGTGCAATGAATGAGCTTTAAACTGTAGATGATTCTGATACTTACATAATTCACTGTTGTCGCATGATGCACTGCAGCAGACCAATATCGTCACAAGGCCAGCGATACATACCATAGAAAAGAATTTGTAAATTGTGCAATGAATGAGTTTTAAAATGAAGATGATCCTATTGTCGCATGATGCACTGCAGCAGACAAATATCATCACAAGTTAGTCAAGTATCACAACATTTTCTTCAAAAAAGAGAAACCATGAAATGGTTGCGTTTTCAACTTTAAATCACTCAAGTCGTTCTTTACTTTTCAACCCGTGTCGAATTCATCTTCACTCTGCGCATTAATTGATGTTTCCAAGTTTATCAAATGGATAAATAGGGATCGAAAATAACGATTGTAGTTGACATTTTCCTGTACATACATCTTTTAATTCTTGGAGACTATATGCATTGAAAATTGCTTAAGTTCATAAAATTCAGCCTAAATGCAGTATGAGATTGATCATCATTGTCTATAAAAATAGCTAAATGAAAGCCAAAACTTAATAATGAAGTTACTGGTAGTAATTAGCACCAGGGCTAAATAATTCCAAAGCACTCAGAATTCGGCCACAAATTTATCAAATAATACCTCGATGATCTCCACACAGCAATACTATAATACTATATAATCGATTCAATTAGGTCGTATACTATCTGTGTTTCTTTATATTGATAATTTATCCGTTGACCTTCTCAAAATTTACTCCATTCTGGGTATATAATGGCTTAGAGTAATTGAAAAGTAATTTTAGAAGCGCAACACAGATAACGGCAACTGAGAAACTCGACCAACAAACTCAAAATTGTTATGGAACCCAAAAGAGTCTGGTAGAGTATTTCTATTTAGCGAATCGAGGAGCATGTGGCATTTCTTGTCAATGATGGCATTTCTTGTCAAAGTAGCGTTCCTTTCACCTGCTTGATACGCCGCAATGCGCGTATCACCACATCATAGAAGTGGTACACAGAAGTCCACGCATCTCACACTCGTATAAATTAGTACGAATGACCCAATTTACCTTTTAAAAAGGGGCAAACCTGTGCTACGTAGAGGAAATACTTTGATGAATATGACTCATATATTTTTTCTGAGCATTTTTTTCTGAAGCAACAATCATTAACCGTACATGCATCATCAAGCTATACATCTTAAATAGTATTGCATGGTACCATCGAGAACATTAATCCAAGAACATGAATGTGTAGTTCTAAATATACTTGATATGCTCCAAATATCCGGTGCTTAACCACATCAAAAAACGTATATCGAGCATTGAAAAGACGTAAAGTTCATGGCGCATGGATGCATCAATTGGACGACGGCGCACTCAAACGACGCGCGGAAACACGGCTGGTGATCTACGAACTGGGAAGATGCGTACGGAGTCGGCCTAGTATATGCAGATGGGTGCCAGCGCTCACTAGCAACCTAATTGAGGTATATCGTTTAGAAAATACGCACATAAAACAGACCCTGCGCCGCCTAAGGGCATTAGCGGAGGGTCGCCGACTTTATGAACTTCAGAAATTGAATTAATGGCTTTTGAGTGTCGGAAGGCACAATGAAAGACGGGCGACTGAGAAGGGGTCTTGTGCGACGCACGTCACAAACGTGGAGGGTAGAAGTACGCTCAGATTATCCTCCCTTTTAAAACGGAAGTGAACCGATAAAATATAAGAAGAAATCTTTGTAGTTTATGACAACACTTTTTGTCGAGGAAGATGAGCGGAAATTCTGCTGAAAATTTGAGGAAGGTTGTCGTGAAAATAAAATTCATTTAACATTTAGCAAAGGGAGGTGATGACGTCATCAAGGATTGGTGCTGGATAAAGTCCGGAGCGTATTTTACTGATTTCAGAATAGTCAACGTATGCGTTTAATCTTTATTAAAGACTGAAAGAATGCAGTTCAAACAGAAAATACGCCAACTNGCGAGAATTGTTCTCAGAATATGTGAGATGGACTTACAATAATTATAGAATCGCAGCGACAAATTGCCCAGCGTTTTTCACGTTGGGAAAAACAGAATGAGGCAGCGGCAGCAGGGCATCTTGCAGGTGTGATGCGGTAGGTCGTTGTCAGATCTGATCTTTATTCTGAAGGATCTTCCGCTAAGACCATGCACAATCTGTATGGTCTTTGTGCGCTTGTTTCTTTCTTATCAGGTAGCAGTAGCTTGACGGATCGACTGTTACAGACACCAAGGTTTTGATAGTAAAGAGGCGGTGGCAAAGAAACGTTTTTACCAGCACGTGTTTATACGTGCCTCCACTCGATCAAGATAAAGTCAAATATGCTTCAGAAACGTGATTAGTTGGCCGGCAATCGCAGTCACGGTGGTCTGCTTAATTGTTGCACTATGAGGCGAGAACAGAACAATTAACGCGCTAAGTCAGAACATCATTGCGTCAGAGACCTAAGCAAAAATTTATCTTGACCTACCCAAACGTTCGGTTCTGATACGTTCGAATTATGAAATTCTGATAGATATAATAACCGTAATTTATTTAAAAAAAAAAGTTTGTGACATAACTATATTTATGAAAGGGCTGTCGCCTACGTTGCTTCCCAATAAATTTATGATCTATCACTGAGCAACATCCATAAATCAATTTCCCATACGTAGACACCAAAGCAATCCCACTGAAAACTTGATAAAAATTCAAGACAAAATTCTTTAAAAGAAATAAAAGTCACACAAGCAAACATGTTGCGTAGACTAGCATGTCTCAAAAATTTGAGGTACTTCCTGCTTTGCATGCTGTATTAACGAATAAAAAGCCATCTCGTACCATCCCGCATAAAAATTGATAGTCTCGTCAGTACTACTCGAACAACATCAACTTGATTGATGACATCTACTTTGGTGGCACGCAGTCGAGACGCACGCTGGCCTGGTTAGAATCCACGATAAAGTAATTCAGTAGATTGATGTATAGCTTGTTGAGTTCTAAAAATTCGAAACTCAGTCAAGACTTACCAGTTCCAACCTGAGTTATAACGCGTACCTCTACTAATATAACGGACCTGAAAATGGTAGTAAATTAAGAACTGAGTCTACCAATAATTCATCACCGGATATTTAATTTTGTCGAATATCTTGAAAAATGTCACTCAACTTCAAGGCCTCACAAGCATACCATTTCCACACTTTTGAATGAACAAAATTTTTTTAAGAATAAAATTGGTTCAAGGCATGAGGCAAACTAAGTTTCTCACGTATTCCTGCTATAGTTAGAAAACACACGCTGTCAAGCAGTGGGCACAAGGCTTCTGTTGTGCCGAGGACGATCATTCAAGAGGTTTTTAGACGCGCCTCGAGTGCGTCACGCAGCAACGAACGCGCTAAACGCGACACTGTTCACGCACCCGATGTTTCCTCGGCGCTTGCAATACGTACGACGTCTCGGCGACAACGTTAGAGAGACGCGAATATTTACTGTATCGACTTTTTAGGCGTAACATCAATTGATCTTTGAAGGGGTAAAATAAATTCTATTCTGAAGTTCGTTTTTCGCGCAATTTATTCTGAATTAATTCCATCAAAATGCTAAAATAACGATTTCATTAGAACAATCTTCAAAAAATTACTTCTTGTACTAAACGCTAAAATATTCATCAGAAAATCCTCTTCATTAAAGTTAGCATCGAGATTCTATTCTACCGTTGATCAAATAACCGACATTTTGTTTTCATTTAGAAAAGTCGTGATTATATGTCAAAGATCAAAGAATATTACAACGTTATATGCAAATTTTTGACAGTTGTAACGGTAAGTGGAAAAAGTGGACAGTTGTAATGTTAAAAGTCGGAAATCACGATTTAGTCGAGTAGCGCGAGTGCTCAATGCACAATAATTCTAGAAAAACATAAATTCCAACCGGAAAGTACCCTTAATCTATGTACAAGTACTCTATCTGCATGTACCCCTAATCATTTTCTACATTGATAGAATCATCAGTTGCATGCTATATTATACAAGCTAACTTCACGCTATAGAACACAAATGTTCACATCAATTCTCCGACAGCAAGTCTTGGAGCGACACTCCAATTAGAATATCATGCTTATCACACATAACAGTTAGTAATTCTTCAATTTTTGTATGAAATGGTAATAGCTAATCGAATCCAGAGAATTGGATGTATTCCATCTGGTATTATCCAAGGCAAAAAAAGAATTGATCAACTAACTGGAGCCTCCCTTTTAGTTGTGATACAAAAAAAAACGAAAATTATGTTTAACATTTTAACTTGATTATATGTTTTTAAAGCCACTTATGAAATGTTTGTCATTTTCTACGCCGATTTAACCACTGGTCTGGATTGTTCTCAAACCCTCGTAGCTTTGAACTGCTTGGTCGTTAAAGTTTGAATGTAAAATGAATGTTATCGACAGCACGTACATTATGGGCAGCGCAGAGGTTATTTTCAGAATCTTATAGGCTTAGTTTTTGT